CCGGGGAGGAGCCCGGCGGCCTTGGCCGGGTGCGGCGACGCGGGCCCCCCGTCCCCGGGGCTGCGAGGGAGGGGCGACCCCGAAAGGCCCGGCCCCGGAACCCCCGTTTTTGTCGCCCAGCACCCCCTTCCCGGTGCCCAGCGTTCCTCCGCCGCCCGAACCCCCCGCCCTGGCCGCAGACCCCGCGCAGCGCCCGCGGGCCGGGGTCAGCACGGGGGGACCCGAGCGCCTCGGGGTTCGCACGGTGGAGCCGTGGTCTGGGGGGCCCCTTGGCCGGCGCTTCTCCCCGCGGGGCCCGGCCTCGGTGAGGTCACGAGCGGCCGCAGCTGTCTCCGTCCTTCCAGGGCCACGCTGGCTGCCGGACACTGGCCGGGCCTCCTCCCTCCGCTCCTTTAATTTTTCCTGCACGGCGGTCAGCTGTTAACCCCCCAGGCCTGGGAGGGCCAGCAGACCTGGCCGGGGGCTCATGTCCAGCGGCCTTTTGAAAGCTGCACTGAGCCTTTGTGGGGGGCGACCCTGGCCCTTGCCCGGCCGTCTGTCCATCCGTCTGTCCATCCGTCTGTCCATCCGCTCTCCGCCTTGAGCATCGCGGTGCGGGTGGCCAGCCGAGCTGACCCTTGTCCTTGAGGGTGGCCAGCAGCCCTGGTCTGAAGCAGCGTGCACGTTGCCTTGCAGGGCACATCGCCATCCGAGCGCCGGTCATGACGGACGCCCAGTATGTCCTCTGCAGATGGAAGAGGCGATGGTGGCCGGCCAAGGTGACAGCCGGGTGTAATGCCAGGAGTGGAAGTGGCTTTCGGGTGACAAGCAAAACCTTGATCAGGGAAACAGCTGCGCTGGCCTTTGGGTGCAGTAATTGAGGCCGAAACCCTGGCACCCACCCGGCCCGCCTAACAGCGTCGTAGTCTAGCTCTTCCAAGGTTTACACCTCCAGAAGTGTGTGTTTCACACTTAAAAACATGAATCAGGCGGAAAAAGACGTCTCGGGCTGTCCCTCCGGGAACGAGCTGGCAGGGAGCCGGGCGGTGGGAAGCCAGCATCTCAGGCTGTCGTCCACCAGGGCCGTGGGAAGAGTGCCCAGCTGGAGGCCAGGGTCCTGCGGTCCGGCCAAGTCCCCCTGCCCCTCAGTGACCGCTTGTCCTCCAGGCTGCCCTGGTGTGTGACTTCGGTGCACTTGACCCCCAGTAGCTCTGGACTCCTACGGTTCACACTTGAAGTATCACTGGCTTGGTACTCGTACGCTGTCTCTGCGTCTTCCTTAGTCAACTGTAGAAATAACAAGAATTGTGTGTGTGTTTTATTTTCTTAACGTAGGTTTTGTCCAGAACCGAGACTCCAACAAAAAATAAGAGAAAAAAGGATTTTTTTCTAGATGTGCAAATCCTCTCCCTAGATGAAAAGTTAAGTTTTACGGGTTCATTCCTCCTCTCTTTTTTATTATATGAGATTTCTGATGGGGGGGGGAAGATGAATTCACATGTCAGGTACCTTGTTATGAAGAAAACAGTCCTTCTGATTTCTCATCAGTTTGGAGACTGAAAATCTGTACAAGCCATTTTGTGAGAAAGAACAACAAAAATACAGATCACTACCCCAAGGCCAACTATTTGAGCTTAAATAGGGATAGTCCCTTGCCACAAATCTGCACACTTTTCATTTCATTTTGTTTTGTTTCCTCCCCTCGTCAGAAAGCTGTGTGACAGTCAGTCACTTTTGAAATGTCTGGCTCTCAAGCCGGGCACTCGGTGAGTGAGGCCGCTCGGTGAGTGACCGCTTGTTCAGCAGGTCCAGGACGCAGCCACCGCGATCGGCCAGCTCCACGCTGTGGCTGCTGCTCCCGACGGCCTCACGTCGGCGGCCGCTGACAAGGATGCCCACTTCATGTGGGCAGTGGTGCTGACCTGTGTGATGTGAGAGTGCCCGGCTCCACACGGCAGGCGCCCCGGCTAAGCAGTCGCTGGGCAGCCCCAGGTTGCTTGCCCTGCCCTGGTCTGCACTGGGAGCTGCGTCTTCAGAGCTGCTTCGAAAGCTCACTGGGTTGTACGCTCTCCCTGCAGCTGGGAAGGTAATTGAATACTTGAGTTTAAAAGGAGTGATCACCCTTTTAAACTAAGACACACCTGCTGGGCTGTAAACAGCTTTTAGTGACACTATCATCCGACTCTGAAAATCTAACAAAGGACTTATTTGTGCAGTTGAAAGTAGGATTTGCCTTGTAAAAGTCACAATTTGAATTCATTTCTACTCTTCAATCCAGCCAGCCTTTTTTTCTCTCTTAAAAGGAGAAAGAAAGGAGGTGGGAGAAGCCACCTCACAGAGTCCTTGCTGCCTCTGACCTCAGGCATGTGAATTCCTAGTTGAGTGTGACTTTAGGTTTGAGTGGAAGGTTGAGAGGGCGGAAAACGAATTTAATTCTTTTGTCTAAAGGAAAACACGTTTGAGGATGGCTTGGTGGCCCCGGCTGGTGGGGGATAACAGCTGTCTGTGTCTCTGCAGAATTCAGGTGAGAAGCTCAGGAGTGCAGAGCTTGTCGAAGTCTCAGATTGAAGACATTGCTTCCTTGCTAGGTAAGCTTCGAGGAGCCGCTTGGGAGAGCTTCAGGGCTCACGTCTCCAGCTGGGCATTCCCTCCACCACTGAGGTTTTGTCTTCTCTGTACTAGAATCTGAGGAGCAAAATAGACTATTTTTTCCTAAAGTCTTGCAGAAGGTGCCCCCAGAGCTGACGGCTGCTTGACCCCCAGGCAGGCTGCTGGTAAATGGCCACGCTGCCCTACGTCTCTGTCCTGGAGAAAGCAGCTGCGTCTCCTGCTAGTCCCTTTCTCCCCATAAGCTTGGGAGGTGTTTCTCTGTGTGGTGGGGTCTCACCCCCAGCTAGAAGGCAGGTGATTCTGTGTGTCTGATGTGGGAGACTGGAGTCCCCAGGAGCCAGCAGCGGTCTCTGGAGTCTTCGCCTCATCCTCGTATCTTTGCTCTCTTCCTCTTAGCTTCTTAGAGGTGAGGTTGGTGTGACCCCCTTCTCCCCAGCAAACAGGCGGCCTGTGTCATACACGCCTGACACCGTGTCACCTCACTCACCTAGGTGGAGTTGGTGAACCTAATCGAAAAAGTTTATTCTGATTGCAAAGCTAACTCCGATCTGTAAAAACTCTGGTCTGGAATGCCTCCCTTCCAACGGTGTGTCTGAAATCTGGCCTGTCTGCATGTTGATCCAGAAATGCCACTATTGTTTCAGGCTGGGTCCGGCCGAGCATTTGGGGGAGGTGGTTCCCACACCTCCTCCCAGTGCCGTCTCATTGTTCCTCAAGTCTGGGTGGGGGGTGAGCGCCTTTCACATGAAATGGGGTGAAATGCTGTTTTGATGGAGGTATGATGCCTGCTGAGTGGCGATATTGCATCCATCATCTTGTTCAAATAAGTCGCACCCTATCTGTATGGGAATGAATAAATAAAACAGCTGCAGTGGGGGCGCAGGCCGGGAGGGCCCGGGCGCTGCAAGGCCCTCGCAGAGCAGCCCAGCCTACAATGGGCCTTTTTCATCAGGGGTCCCGGCACCCGCCCCCCCAGCCAGGCCGGCATCGCCACCGGAGCTCTTTATTTTGTGGGCTTTGGGCTTTATTGACCCTGATGGAATTTGAAATTGTAAGGCCCAGAGAGGATTTGCAAAACATTTGAATGCGTTTTGTGCAGGGACATTGTTTTGTAACTCGGCGGACGTTATCTTTGTAACCAGTGAGGTTAAGGTGGATGGATTTGGGGTTTTGGTGTTCTTCCCCCTTTCTTTTCTTTTGAAGTAAGGAGTTGGCGGGACCGGTGTCAGCTCTGTAGCTTGTCCTTTCTTGGGAAAATGTCCCTGAGCAGCAGCAATTCCCTTCCTGTGTTTAGCAGTAAACTCGGCTGCGCTCGCTCGGCCCCGGCCCCGGCATCACCAGGCATTATCTGTCCCCACAGCCTCCCAGAATGAGGCCCCGGCCCCCGCCCTGGAGGAGCTGGCCTACAGACGCTCGCTGCGAGTGGCCCTGGACGTTCTCAACGAGGCGGCCGCCTCGAGTCCAGACGGCGCGGCCGGGGGAGGCAGGGCAGCCCCGGCCCCGAGCCCGCAGCCTGCGGACCTGGCGCTTGGTCTCCTCCCTGACGGCGCTTTGGGCCGGTCCCCACCTGGACGGAGAGGGCGAGCTGTGCACAGCCTGCTGAGTGCGTCCCCTTCGGAAAAGGAGCCTGGGGTCCCAGGCTGTCCACTGACCTCACTCGAGGCGGGCAGGCTGGGGTCACGGGGCAGAGGCCGATCGCAGACCCTCCGAAGAACCCCGGCTCCCAGCCCCAGCTCTCCGCACAGTGGGTCTTCACCCGAAGCAAGCAAGGAGAACGAGAGTAAGAGGGCGGGCAGCCCCTGTCCTGGCTTCACGCTCTGGGGCCGGGGGGACAACACACTGTCAGAGGTCAGAGAGCCTTGGGTCACCAGTGGGGGGGCCCCTGCTCTCTCAGCTTGGCGACAGAAGACAAGTGAGTCCTGCCAGGAGACGCCGGCCCACTGGCCAAACTGCCCTGACCCCAGAGAGGTCCCAGCGAAGAGGCTGCGCCTGGAGGAGCCGGAGCCCGCGGGGTGCGTGGCCCCACACAGTGCCAGGCACGCCTCCGAGCCCCACCCCCCGGAGCCGGAGAAGGCAGAGGAAGGTAACCCTCCTGGCGGGCCCCTGCCTTTGTGAGCAGGTCCTGACTTGTGGCCAGCGGGCGCCCGGGGCAGCTCCCTAGCCTGCTGCACTGCTTGCCCAGCCTCCACCCCGGGGGTCTGGCTTAGGACTGGAGAGAACCAGGGACTCTGTCCGGAGCTTAGCGGAGCGAGTCGGGGGAAAGCTGAGCGGTGGGGGTGCTTGGCGGCGACGGCGGCAGCCCAGAGTCTCGGGCAGTTAGTGCGCCTGGCTTACATTTCTGGGATTGTCCCCATTTTTGCCTCATGTCGCCAGATGTTTTTGAAATGCTAATTCTGAGATTTCAGTTGCTGCATGGCACACCCCTGACCCTCAGCGCCTCGGTCCATCTCCCCTCCCTGGGGGTCTCCTCAGAGCCTGTCAGGAGGTGGCATTTTGTTGTTTTCTGAAAGGAACGTAGCCAAGTCCATGCCCGTTCCTTAGTGGGGGTTCTCGACACCCACTCCCCACCACCACAGGGAACAAGCCAGCCACTGCGGTGCCCCCGTTCCTTCAAGAAGCTCCAAGAGGGTCCTTTCCCTCGAGCGTTTTCTTCAAAGGCCTTTTAAAAGAAGTGGCCCTGTTTGAACTCGCAGCCGGAGCCCTTGGTGTGCACGGCCCGTCGCACTGCAGGCTGCACAGCGAAGCTTCCCCAGGACAGGTCAGGACAGTAACGCTCTGCCTTGTCGCCAGGCCACCAATCTTCTGAGGGGTCCGTGGAGTTGAGTCCCCTTGATTCTGTCCTGGAGGAAGATGAAGAGGAAGAAGAGCCCCCCAGAATCCTGCTGTATCACGGTAGGTGAACCTGTGGTTGTTATGACCCCCGAGCTGTTGGGGCACCCTGGCTGCTGCCGCGATGGTGAGCTGGCCCTGGCTTAGGTCTGTGCCCCGCCGAGGGCAGGCGCCGGCCCGATCCCAGCACCGCCCTCCTCCCAGCCCCCTCGGCTCTGGGCAGCACACGGACTTGGAGACATGAACAGAGTGCAGGCAGCTCCGTACGTGGGAGACAGTGAGGTTTCAGATTCCTGCCTCGGCGAGCTTGGTGATGGCTGAGTTGCCGCGTGTGGGTTTCCCAGTCCCTCTGTTGAGCTGTAATTTACATACCATGCAGCACGCCCAGCGAGCCTTCTGGTGTGATGGACTTTTATGTTTTTATACCTTTTTACTTGTAAAAAATTACAGACTCACAGTGGAGATGGTCCCCCAGCCCTGACCCCGGAGGTGGCTCTCATGTGACTGTAGGACAGGATCATACCCAAGAACTGGGCATTGGCACCTTCCCCTGGTGTGGTCAGCTCTTGCTGAAGTGTGTACATCCTGTGTGCACATGGTGGGGCGGGGTGCGTGCATGGACACACACACATTCCTAAAAGTATACGTGTACGTGGATGTGTGTGTGTGTGTGTGTGTGTCTGTGTTCATTCACGCACACGTGACCATCTTGTTAGTGGTTCTTTTCACCCCGCAGCCTTCGTGTGTGTGCGTGTTCGTTCACGCACACGTGACCATCTTGTTAGCGGTTATTTTTGGTTATTTTCGCCCCACAGACTGTGTGTGTGTGTGTGTGTATGTGTGTGTGTGTGTGTGTTCATTGACGCACAAGTGATCATCTTGTTAGTGGTTCTTTTCTCCCCGCAGCCTCCACTGCCTTCCATCCAGTGTGTGGCATCCTCTGTCCTATTGGTGGTGACCTGGACTTCTGGTCACTTTTAGGAATACCGGTTGCTGCTCACGGGGGGTACCCTGCCTACAAGTCTCCAAGGTCCATGTTGTCTGCTGGGAATGGAAATGGTTCGCATGCGACCCGTGCTTGAGAACTGAATTGACAGAAACCTCCCCCATTTTCCAGGCAGATAATTCCACCCACACTGTCCCCCAGTAGATTCCTGGGGTGCCTGACCTTGCCACCTCCTCACAGGACAAGGTTTCCTGGCCTCTCCTCTGCTCGGGCTCCCGGCCTTGGATCCACACAGCAGTCTTCCCCAAGCCCACTTCACTGCATGGGCTCTCCCATCTTCAGAACCCGTCTCCCCCAACTCCCCAGCCTCGCACACACAGGCCCCCCTCATCAGCCCTCTCCAGCCTCACACTGCACACTTTGAGGTAGCAGCCTGTTGGGGTGCAGTGGGGTGTCCTGTGTCTCCCGGCCGACCTGGGTGCTGGCTGTCCCCGTGGCTGAGCCCTTTGTTCTGTGGGGACAGCCACCTCTCCTCAGGCCTGGGGGCTCTTCCGATGGGGCAGCTGCCTGCGTTTCCCGGCTGCCCCTTCTCTGGCCTCACTTGCGCACAGACCCTCAGATGCTCCCCGTTCTTTGCCAACAGCGGAGTGACCGGGGCCTCACAGGAGCCTCGCAGGACGGTGTCAGGCGCGCAGCAGTTTTTTCCTGCGCAGCTTGTCCGTCCCCCTCCGCCTGCAGCTGTGTTGTAGCGTATTGCTGGGCCGGGTCTGGGGTCCTGCTGGTGGACTCCCCATCTCGGTCACACAGCCACTGTCCTTGCAGCTCACCTGTCTGTTCGGCCCTTCTGGTTTTGTCTTTTGAATCCTAGAACCACGTTCGTTTGAGGTGGGCATGCTGGTCTGGCTCAAGTACCAGAAGTACCCGTTCTGGCCCGCAGTGGTAAGCGTCCTTGCGCCCGAGGAGGGTCTGTCTGCTCGGACCTCGGGCAGCTTAGCTGGGATTAGCACCGATTGCTTTGTTCACGGAGGGAGATGGAGTTCTCGGCACATTTAACTGAGGAAGGGGAGTTTCTTCTTTGGATACAATTTGTAGGTCAAGTGCTACCCTAGCAGCTGGAGCGGGGGAGGACTGGACAGTGTGCCTTCTCGCTCCCGCCCAGTCTTGAGGGTTTCTGTTTGAGTCAGCGAGCGGCCGGTCCCTGGGCAGCCGTGGGCGGCCAAGACCTCGGCTTTGTTTCCTGCACTGGGGCTGGGGCTGGGGAAGGTGGCAGTGTCCTCCTGTCGGTCTGCTCTCCGCTTCGCCTTTGTCCTCCTGACTTTGTCAAGGCGTTGGCTGCTCAGTTGCATCTCTTTAATTTGTTTTAACTCAGTCAATTTGAGCAGATTTTGCTGGTTTTGTCAATCTCTTACGAGTGCCCAGTGCCTGAGCCCTTTGTCTTGTGTATGCCTGACTGCAGGAAAGATACATCTTAAATCCATAAAGTACTTTCCAGATAAAAAGACGCAGCTTAAATAGACTTGTAGATTAAATCAAGATGCATGGCTGCATCCCAGAGATTTGAGGGGCATCTCTTGGCCTGGTCATAAGGGTGCTGGGCTTATTTGGGGTCCTGCTCCATCCTCCTTTGCAAGCTAGCTTCCTGATAGGTCCCCACATCTTCCTCTCTCCCCCAGGTGGCACCGTTTTCTAGATCTTTCCAGCCCCTCTGTTCTGTCAGTCCTCTGGGATCCCTTCTCACAGAGCAGTTAAAGCCCTGGCTTGCCAGTCTGAAGGCTAATGGTTCAAGTCTTCTAGTTGCTCCTGGTAGACAGATGAGGCCATCACCTTCAGTTGAGGCCTCCCCCTTCGGAAGCCCTGTTGTCAGTTACGCTCCATCCTCTGTGGCAGCTTGTCCTCCGCGGCAGCTGAGTCAGAGTCCACCTGGCAGAGGCCGGGGGCTTTGTCTCATCTCCTGACGAGGCCGTGTGGCCAGGGTTCAAGGAGGAGACGCGGCTGAGTGAGGTCCCGGGCGCAGGTTCACCTGGCATTTCCCGGGGGTCCGGGCATGGCACTGCACCTCCCACAGCTCGCCCTGCTCTGGAAGACCAGAGGGGACTGGCCACCGGGCCCTCAGAAGGCAGACGGGGAGGCTGGAGGGGCAGCGGAGCTGGAGGAGCTGCCCCGTCCGTGAAGAAACCAGAGAAAGAGCTACATTTCAGCGAAAGTGACAAGACACCAACCGTCCTTCGCACGTCCAAATAGGAAGAGTCAGAAGGCCAGTGTAGAGGGTTAAAAAGGACTTCTAAAATGTCTTCTCTCAGAATTCTCTGGCTGGTTTGAAGGACTCTTGTTAGCTGTTAGCTGTTCACAAGTAATAGGCAAACCGAACATCGAGAGAACCCAGTAACGGCCATCAGCCCGTGTGCTCAAGCTGTCTCAGAAAGGTCACAGCCATGGAGTCCCAGAGCCGTGCGCTGTCAGGTCCCCCCCACACTGTTTCTTTCCAGAGGTGTCAGGAGTCCATGGCAAAACTAAGGGGTGTGGGGAAGGGTCGTTCAGAAGCCACAGCTGCCTCTTTGTTCTTGACTTCTGTTTTTGTGGATTTGCTAACAGGTCAAAAGCCTCAGGCGACGAGATAAGAAAGCAAGTGTGCTCTTCATAGAAGGAAACATGAACCCGAAAGGGAGAGGGTAAACTCCCCTCCCCTGCTTTTCCAGAAGGGCCCCCCCAGCACACCTCGGAACCAGCCACTGCGGACGGGGAGGCAGTTAGTGGGCACCCCCCGCAGTCAGAGCGTCCCCAGCAAGCCAGGAGTGGTCCAGGCAGGGCAGGAGTTAGAGGGCAGGGGCTGAGCTCAGCTGAAAGTCTGTGCTGCCTCAGGCCCCAGCCAACTAGAGAGCCCTCAGTCAGCGGGCAGTGGCCCTGCCCGGCCAGGCGTGGGGCCACCCTCACGGGCTTGATCTGGAGTCAGGCCAGCTCTTGCCTGTGGCCATCTTCTTGTCACCTGCTGGAGAGTCATGGGCAGGTCAGTCCCTCGTTTCTATCTGTTGTGGCCACGTTCTATCATAGCAGCAGCTCTCCAGCCCGGAAGGGGCCGGTGGGCGGCCAGCAGGTCCTCCAGGGCAGCGGCCACTGCCTGGGCTGTGGCTCCTAGGCAGACACGTCCTCCTGCTGGTGGCTGTGGGTGTGACAGCGAGTGGGCAGCTCCCAGGTCCCCGGACAGCCCCACCTGCAGCCCACTGGCTGTCCTGTCCAAGGACACAGCACCTCGGCCATCGCCAGCACAGCTTCCCTGACAGACAGGCCTGAGTGAGGGGCGAGGAGCTGCCGGGGGCACCCTGAGCCCAGGTGGCTGCTGACCGAGCCCCTCTCTGCCCGGCAGCATCACTGTGTCTCTCCGGAGACTGAAGCACTTTGACTGCAAGGAGAAGCAGGTCCTGCTGGTAGGACGCTCGGCTGCTTTGGGGCTTCTGTCGGGACGGGTCTGTTTATCCTCTGCAAGTCAGTGACCCCTGGCTGCTTTTGTGTCCATGGGAGGCTGACCTCTCACCTGGCTTTGCGTGGTCCCTTTTGGGGGTCACTGCCTTGAATTTTGTTAGCTGCCCTGGGAACAAGGGTGCCCTCAGGTCCCCACTGCGGGAGGTCACGGGGTGTGAGGTGGAGGTGGCCCAGGAGTCCCTCTGGTCCCTGCTCTGCGGGAAGAAAGCAGCTGCTGCCTTGCAAGTTTGGATTGGGTTCCAGTGTTTGGCCGACTGACCCTGAGTGGTCCCGAGTTCTGACCTTGATGTGGGTGTTTGAAGTGCCTTGTGAAGCGGCTCAGTCTGCCACCACTGTCTCTAACCTGTGCTCAGCACCCCACTTGTAGCAGTGATGTGTAAAAGGACTCCTCGCCAACTCCTGTCCATCTCTCAGGCCCTGAGACATTCTCACAAAGCCTGGGGCTGAGGGCCAGGAGGGAGATGCCCAGGCTTGGGGACTGGTCAGAGAAGCCTAGACAGCCGGCCCTGGCTGTCTTCGGGGGCCCCACGAGGCCTGGCCTACTCTTGGCTGCCTCCTTGGGTCCAGCCCTCAGGGGTCAGAGGTGGCTGGTGGCCGTTTGCAGAGCGAGTACAAAAGCAAAGACTGTTGCCTCCCGACGGGGCCGCCCTGCTGACACTGTCGTCCCCTCTGCCGTAGCACGAGGCCAAGCAGGACTTCGAGCAGGCTGTTGGATGGTGTGTGGCCCTCATCACCGACTACAGGGTCCGGCTAGGTGCGTGGGGCCCACAGGGGATGGGGCAGGGGTGGGCACACGGCACCCTCAGGCCCCAGACTGTCCCGTCCACTGATCCCCCTGCCTTGTGGGGTCCACCCTTGCCTGAGTGCCCCATGGAGCGCCTCTCCCTCCCCCAGCCTTGAGCATTCATGGTGACATTGACTGCCAAGAGTAAGCCAGCCTGGCCTTTGCAGGTGACCTGGGGCCTGTACCCCAGACATTGGCCAGCTGTGTCCTGTGTGGTCAGCCGTGTTAGAAGGACACTGCAGGGTGTGTTAGCGGGGCCTGGGTGGGCATCCCCTTGACACACAGCCCCCCTCCTGTTGGCAGGGTGTGGCTCATTCACCGGCTCGTTCCTGGAATACTACGCTGCGGACATAAGTGAGTCCCAGGGGCCATCTCCAGCCACCACCTCCCTCTGGGCTCTGGGCGGCTCAGGGTCGGGGCCAGCCACCAGCATTGTCACGGGGAGCTGTGACCACAAGTCCCTTCCCAGGCGCGGGGTCTCGGGCAGTGCAGCCATGCCTGTGGTCTGTCATAGTGACCTCATGTCTCAGCCGTGTGTGCTGCAGCTCCAGGGTCAGGCTGTCCGGGAAGACGCCGCCTCCCTGGCCTCCCAACCATCCTCCCCCATGCCCGCCCTCGGGACCCCCCACTGCTTCTGTCCTGTGTGTGTTTTTACTTGGGCTGAAAGAGAATAGGGTGGACCTCACCCCTCGGTGACAGTGACGACACCCCGAAAGCGTGTGCTCCTTCTTGTCTCCCGTTCCCTTCCTCGGTTCCCATCACTGGCTGTAGTGGACAGACATCAGGTCTCAGGCCTGGACAGGGCTGGGTGCGGGGCAAAGTGGCGCCTGCACATGGAGGGCCCCTGGACCCGTGAGCTGGCCCCGAGCTCCCCGCCTGGGCTGCGTCCATGCACAGCTGCTTGTGCTTCTCCACAGGCTACCCCGTGCGCAAGTCCATCCAGCAGGACGTCCTGGGGGCCACCTTCCCTCAGCTGAGTGGGGTGGACCCCGAGGAGCCCGAGGCCGCCAGCCCCCAGCCCCACAGCCCGCCCTGCCGCAAGGTGCTCCCAGACCGGTCCCGGGCAGCCCGAGACCGCGCCAACCGGAAGCTGGTGGAGTACATCGTGAAGGCCCGGGGCGCCGAGAGCCACCTGCACGCCATCCTCAGGAGCCAGAAGCCGTCGCGCTGGCTCAAGACCTTCCTGAGCTCCAGCCAGTACATGACCTGCGTGGAGACGTACCTGGAGGACGAGGAGCAGCTGGACCTGGTGGTGAAGTACCTGCAGGGCGTCTACCAGGACACGGGCAGCACCGCCCTGACACGCCTGCACGGGGACCCCATCCGCTTCATCCTGGACGTGCTGCTGCCCGAGGTGCGGCGCCCAGGGATGGGGGTGCACTGGCCAGAGTGGGGAATGGGAACAGTCCTGGAGTTAGGGTGCTCGCTGCTGGAGGTACAGGCTCCTGAGGCCCAGGACTGGGGAGCAGTGGTCCAGCCTGTGTGCTGGGAGCCCTGAGGAGGTGTCTTGGGGTGTGACCCCAGCTGCCCAGGCTGCCTGACTAGTGGGCTCTGGGCCCTGATCAGAGGCCGAGCCTCGCCCAGGCGTGAGGTTAGCAGGTGCCTTGAGTGGAGGGAGCTTTGGCTTCAGTGGGCACAGACTTGGGGAGTCCTGGGTGAGGCGGGGCTGCTGATGGAAGGGTTGGTGGTTCAAACTCAGTCCACAAAAGAAAGCCTGGCGGTCTTCTGTAAGTCAGCAGAGAAGCCCCTGCGGGAAGTTCCCATCGGCTGCCTGGGACCCCGTGGTGACAGTGGGGCCTCAGCCTGGCCTGGGTGCTCAGAGGTCTGGACACAGACAGGCTGGCAGCCCTGCACCCTCCTGGCAGGAGGCGGCACCTCACTGGGAGGCCCTCTGCTTGGTTGTGGGAAAAGAAAGAATAGCAGCTTGATTTTTAAACCTATCCACACTTCCCTGTGTACAGCTGGAGACGGGCTCCTGCTCACGGGGCCGTGGTTCTCACAGTCCAGGCGGGAAGGCTGAGGACACCTCAGCCCCTCAGCAGGACCAGCTGTGGCCCCATAGAAGGCCAGGGCCATGGTCACCAGGCCTCACCCGGAGGGGACCCCGCCATCAGCTCGGCCAGTGCGCAGCCGTGGGAACTGCAGCAGCAGCCGCTCTGTCTCGCCGCCTGTGGGGGCTCAGGCCGTCCACGGTGTCACACCTTTTCCCTGTTTGCCATAAACTTTCAGGTTTAGGAAAAACGTGATGGGAAGGATCCCACCTCTTAGTCTATGGCTTCCAGTCCCCCAGATAATGGGGTGACTGAGACAAGACGATTTGACACAAGCTGGGGTTCACAGGCCAGGCTGGGGCCGGGATGTGTCCCTGCGCTAGGCCACCCGGCCTGAGTCCCGCTGGTCCTCTTGCAGGCCATTATCTGTGCCATTGCTGCGGTGGACGAGGTTGACTACAAGACGGCGGAAGAGAAGTACGTCCGAGGACCGTCTCTCAGCTACCGGTAGGCCGCCCAGCCCCTTCCGAGCCCTGCCGTGTGGAAGTGTGGAAATGTTAAAATGTTAGCAAAATCACGACTTCACCAGGGCGCACCTCGGCTCGCTGCACGGCCATCACCGGAGGCCCGGGAGTGAGCCCAGCACGTTCCATTTCCTGCCGCCAGCAGCCGGTGCACCGGCCGTACGGTCCCTGCCCGCTCCTCCCTCCACCGTCTGCATGCCCACCACCCCCCCAGTGTAATCCACACAGTCCTTGCTGTCCCCCTTGCTGTCCACACGGTCCCCGCCTGCGCTCCCCAACGCCTCCTCACCATCCACATGGTCCCTGCCTGCCCCACCCCCATGCTGTCCGCATGGTCCCTGTGCTCCCCAACACCCCCCACCCTGCCGTCCACACGGTCCCTGCCTGGCTCCCCGCCTCCCCGCCGTCCACATGGTCCCTGCTTGCCCCACCCCCATGCTGTCCGCACGGTCCCTGTGCTCCCCAACACCCCCCACCCTGCCGTCCACACGGTCCCTGCCTGGCTCCCCGCCTCCCCGCCGTCCACATGGTCCCTGCTTGCCCCACCCCCATGCTGTCCGCACGGTCCCTGTGCTCCCCAACACCCCCCACCCTGCCGTCCACACGGTCCCTGCCTGGCTCCCCCCGCCCGTGTGCTGTTTGCATGGTCCCCGCCTGCACCACCTCCCTCAAGCCCTCCTCCCCCTGCCATCCACACAGTCCTTACCCGCCCCCACACTGCACAGTCCCTGCCCAGCCCGGCCCCCTGGGGCTGTCACAGTCCTGCTGTGTGTGCACTTTGAAAATGTGATGGTGACTAAGGCCTTGGGGATTTGAGGTCATCACAGCTACGCACACCCCCACCCCCACCCACCCCACCACCCCTGTCTCCTGGTTGTTTGTCTGCAGGGCCCGTTTCCTGCGGGCTGGTAGTCATAACATGAGGGTCAGCACTGGCTTCCCCCACTCAGGTCAGTCTAGGTGCCCCTCCACTGCACCTGCTGCCGAAACTCAGAAGTGTTGATCGGGCAGGCGGTGAGCCAGGTGGTCAGACGCAGACAGGGTGTCTGTACCCGGTGCCGGCCGGAGGGCTGGCCGCCAGACACGTGCCGGGCCAGGTCCACCCTTAATCTCTTGTCAAGGCCCTCAGACTTTGTCCCCCGGCCCCAGGTCATTTTGCTCACAGGGTGATCAGCACCGCCAGGTCCTGCCACATGGAATAAAGCTACAATCAAGATGTCTCTCTCGCTTGGCTTGTTGGCCGCCCTTGGGTTTGGGCCCAGGAGCCCCTAATCCTGTCTCTGGGCGCGCTGCCAGGCGTGTGGAAGCCAGGCGGGGCCACGGGGCCGCTGCTGTCAGGACACTAATGTGACTCGGAGGAGAGGGTCTCCAGACAGGGCGGCATGCCAAGTGCCAAGCCTCCACTGGCCACAGAGACACACACCCACCACCCCAGTGCCTGCGGAGGGCCCGTGGGAAGGGCCTGAGGGAGGGCTGGAGTGCAAGCTGCCGTGCAGTGGGCAGCAGGGCCCAGGCGTCCAGCAGCAGGGAGGGGGCACCGTTGGGTGGGGCCACAGAGGGTTGAGTGTAGGGCATATTGATGGGGTTTCAGGGTGTAGTGGGGTGAGTTTACAACATGGACATGGATTTGCATGTTGTGGAGGCATCGTGGAGTATGTTTGGTGCATATTTGGGGACACGGTGGAGTGAGCTAGGAGCCAAGATTTCAGAAAGGCCCTACCAGAGAACACTCGGTCTGGCTGCAGCGTTGGGCATTGAACTCTCACGGCCTTGGTGGTCTGCTCTGGCACCCTGATACGCAGACGGTGGGGGAGCCTAGGGAGCAGACCCCAGGACACTTGAACGTTCCGCCGGGAGCTGCCTTGTCGCTTTTTTCCTGTTGAGTGGAGCGGCTGGCTACGAAGGCCCTGTGGGTGCTGGGCAGCATTGCCTGCTGCTGGCATCCCCCCGAGCTGTGGGCCAGCCACGCTGTATCTCTGAGGTTAATTAGAGTGACCGTGCAGCCGCTGCCTCATTAAACAGGGGACGTGGTCCAGATTCAGTGCGGGGAGCTTCGCCCACCCAGCTTCTGTCCTCAATTTTGAAGGCAGCCGTGGAGCCATCCCCCTCGTGGTGCCAGGCTCTCACGCCAGCCGGGGGGTGCGCTTGGCACCCAGCGCTGTGGGCTGCCTTGTGCTGTCCGTGCTGCGGTCTGTGTCCTCTGCCGAGTTGTCAAGTTAATTGATTGTCACTGCTGGACTTGCAGACCAAGGTCCCTGGGCTGTGTCCCTGAGCTGGTCGTCGCTCCCAGAGGAGCCCGATGAGGCCACAGTTACAAGTAACGGCTTTGTTAACTCTTGTTGGAGCTGAAGCACCGACTAGGAGTGCATGAACCGACCGGCGTGCGCGGGGCACCATGCTGGCACTGCCCCTTCTCCGGGCAGGCGGGCCCTTGGTGGGGGCGCTCCCATGCGATGGCGGATGGCTGACCTCAAGTCTTGCTTCTGATTCCTGAAGGGAGAAGGAGATATTTGACAAGCAGCTTCTGGAGGAGAGGAGTCGGCGGCGCCGGTGACGGGCCTGCACCTCGGCATCCGGGACTCCGCCAGCGAGGTCCCGCCGGTGACAGCAGGCGGCCCAGGTTGGCACCCCTGCCACCCGCCCTCCCTTCCCTGTTGATGCCTGGACCTGTGTGCTGCAGCCCGTTTTGTATTAAAAAGCAGAGCAGGCGTCCCAGGGTGTCTGGTCGGTGGGGCGCCTGCTCGCTTTCCGTGCCTCTCCCCCCTTTGTACGTGCTTTCCCCTTCAGAAGGTTCTGGAGTTTACTTTTACCGCTGTCATGTTTTTTTTCTTTGTATATATATAAAAAAAACACTTAACCTATAAAGAGGTGAAACCAAAGCCCCGTGCCCCCGTCTGGCATGGGCGGTGGCCGCTGGGCATTACCTCCGGCTGCTCTCCGTCCGTGGGCCCTCCCTGTCGTCACGGAGTCGCGACAGAGGAGAGGTGTCCCGACATGGCTGGCCCACCCTCAGCCGTGCACTGTGGGGTCACGCCGCCAAAGATGAGCCTTTGGAGCTTGGAGGGCGCCCCGAACGTGGGCCAGGAGAGCAGAGACCGTGTCTGGAGGCGGGCAGGCTTGCGGGAGTCCCTCCCTGAGCAGGTCATCCCAACCCGCTGGCTGTGTCCTGGCCAGCTCCACGGCTGTCTGGGTGAATGGTTTCTCCCACACCCACCACGGGGTCCTGCCAGCCTCTGGGTCTGTGGCGGGAAGATCCCCTTACCCAGTGGCTGTGTTTGAGATGGGCGTGAGGTGACAGGCTAGTTGTCGTCGAGAGACACTGTCTCTGAGGAAGACGGTGAGGGTGAGCATGGTCTGTCAGGAGATCGGGCTCCGAGGCCTCTCTTCCAGCGCCATCACTCCGCCCCCTTGGTCTTGTTTTATCCCGACTGTGGTAAAAGCCCCGGAAGGGGGTGCTGGGGCAGAGGGAGGCGCCCTGTGGGGCCGGCCGCTCACCGTCCTTCTGAGAAGACTGGCTGGTCGCCCCTGCATCACACCTGAGGGTGCTGCCTTACACCTGGCCCCCTGGGAACCACAGGCTGTCCCCCGACTGGCTGGGGACTCCACTCCCCGGGACTCTGCGGGCCACCCCGTCCCTGTGAAGTGTTTGCTGTCTCATCTGTCACCAGCCATGCTCTTGCCTTGCGAATTAAAAGCCTTTTCAGAAGTCTCTCTGGTTTTTCCCAGCTGCACCCACGGTTTGCGGTTGGTAGGGTGGGGGAGTTGATGTCATGTTGGTAAAGCAGCCCCGATTCTATGGCGGGGGTCCCTCAGGTCCCTGTTCAGAGGGTGCTGGGGGGCTGTTTAAACACCCACCTTCGTGGAGCACTCATGCCCTGGGCCCCCAAAGCCTGCCTTCCCCGGCTCCAGGTTGCTTTGGGAATGCACTCAGCTGCTGGGAGCAGGCCATAGGCCCCGGACTGGATACTTTGGGGTGAAGCTGCCTCAGTATTGGGGACAGGACGCTATTTTCCAGACTGGAGGATGGCCTGGCTGGCGTGGGAAGCAAAGAATGTTCCAAAAAGACGAATTTCTTTGTGCTGCCCCCCTACCCTTCATGGGGTAAGGCCTGCGGGGAGAGCAGGCTGCACATCCCAGCTTCCCAAGGGGAAGAGGCAGGAACGGCCTGGGCCCTGCCCCGGCCCCCTTGGCCGCCTGCCTCACACCAGCCTGCCGGCCGTCTCCATGGTGAGGAGCTGTCCTGGGCACTGCCTACCTGGATCAGCCTCCCTGGCTTTCACCTTTGCCGTGCCAGGAGCACTGTCCCCAGAGAGTCCCGCAGACAGCATGACCCTGAGTGAGAACACCACTCCCAGAGACTGTGCCCTAACCCGCTGATGTCCCAGGATGCTCCCTGCCCTGAGACGGTCAGCCCTGTAGGCACTCGGGCCTCGCCCTGGTGGACAGCTGAGGGGTCAGCGTCACTCGTTCCCAGTCTTCACCTCAGCACTGCCGACGATGTGGGCTCACTTGAGCTTCAGCCCCCGAGCCCCCCTCACCCTGTGGCCCTCCTCAGCAAGTCACCCATCGCTGGTCACACAGGCCACTCCAAGGCCCAGGGAGGTGGCATTCTCTCAGCCTCTGGCTGCCCCACAAGTCCAGGGCTCACATGTGCAGGCAGATGGCTCTGGGTGGGGTCGCCCAGACAGGCCCAGTCTGCACTTTCAGGTGTCCTGCCAGCAGCCTGGCGCTTGGCCTCTGGCCCCTCCACCCAGGCCTCTGCCTGCAGCCCTGTCGTCCTCAGTGAGTGAGGGACCCCCGAGAAGACATGGACGGAAGCCTCTGACGCCCCGAGGCCCCTGCTCTCCCCCCAGCAGTGCTGTTGTGTGAAGACCACGTGTGAGGGGCTGGAGCTCAGTTAGGGAGCCAAGGGCTGGGATTGGAGCGCCCTCTCTGGCTCAGGCTGGGGAAGGGTCCGAGGGCCCCCAGCAGCAAGCTAGCACTGGGGGCCTAGTGCACAGGGACCCCACTGCTGACGCCTCCAGAGGCTCTGATGGAGAGCAGTCTCTTCTCTCACAGACCCATGCTCCGAGTGAGACCCAGGTCAACAGTGGTTGTGCATGATTCCTGGAGAACTCTCAGCTCCAGGGGATGTGCCGGGCACTGACCTCATCTCTCCCAGTCTCCGCTCTTAAACAGCTCAAAGGAGATGGAGGTGGGCCACACCCGGCTGGAATCATTAACAAAACTCACAAGGATGATTTCCAGCACATCCTGAGGGAGGGCATGGACATAGTGTAACAGTCACATGTATCATCCAGCTTGAACATGGGAGGGGCTGGGGACCAAGAGGTAGCACCGGGGTCCACTGTGGGTCCCAGCTCCCATACGTTCACAAGGACCCCAAATCCAGCCCTTCAGCCCCCCACAGCACACAGCAGGGCGGCCCACCACAACCCATTCCCTGCTGCCTGTCTGCAGGACCAGGTCCAGAAACAAGTTGGCTGCTGATGACACCAAATCCATTGCAGCCAAGTCTCCGTCAGGTTTCACACGTGTGAATCTTTACAGGCAACCACCCGACTTCACCCTCAGTGTTTGGGTTACGCCCCCCGCCCCCCCAGCCAGCACTTCCTTCCTGATTCATGCTGTCCCCTGAGGGGGTTTCTGAGGGGGTGAATCATGGTGTGACGTCGCTTGTCCTCCTGCGGGGCATCTGAACTAGTAGAGGGGCGCCTTGGGCAGCAGAGCTTGGCCTCCAGGGACCGTTCCTCACATTAAGGACCCACGAGAGGGAAAGTCCAACTCTGCCAGGAGAGAAACATCACACAGACTGAGAAGTCGGTGTTTCTCAACACGACTACCCCTGAAAACGAGGTCCCAACAACTAGCAAAGGCTGAGGAAGCCTCACAGCATGGCGGGGTCAGCACGTGCACAGGCAGGAAAGGCCAAGGTGTCCTGCAGTGCTAAGAAGCTGCGCTGCAATCCTGAAGACACACGGTTCAAATCCGCCAGCTGCTCCACGGGAGAAGGACGGGCAATCTCGCTCCTGATCTAAGCCTCAGAAAACCCACCGAAGGGTCAGCTTATGGGTCAGTTCCGACTTGATTGTACGCAGCCACCCCCATGCTGCACTCCAGCTCTTTGCACATTTCATTATAATACTTTGTCTTCCCAAGCTGCCTTTGGAAGTCTCCTGTTCAGCTCCGTAGCTTCCTGATTTCTTCCCTTTGCTTTGTCTTCTCAGCGCTCTAGTGCAATGCTCAGAGTCTCTTCTGACATCCTTCTCAGTCTTCTCTTCCTCTCTGCCTTTGTAACAACCTTTTATGTTCTTCATGGATGAAAGAAATTCTTGATAACCTCCCACAGCTCATCTAGTCTTCATTCATTAGTGTTCAAGGCCTCAAACCTGTTCCTGGGATGGCTTAAATTCAGGTGGGACAGACTCAGAATCATATTTTGGTTTGTGTGGAACAGATCATTCAGGAGGCCAGACTTTATGGAGAAGAATGTGGCGTCAGGATGGGAGTAACTCACCAACAACCTGTGTTACACAAATGACACACCTGTTCCTGCCATAACTAAGGAAGACCTGAAACGTTTGCTGCAGAAGGTCAAGGACGGCAGCCAGCCTTCAATATGGATTGCATCTCAACATGAAGCAGAGACTCCCACCACCAGGCCAACTGGCAGCATCATGATAAATGGAGAAAAGACTGAGGCTGTTAACAATTTTATCTTGCTCAAATCCACAATCGGCTTAGCACCAGCAGTCAGGAAACTATAAGGCCAATTGCATTGGGAAAGTCTGCTGTCAGGGACCTCTCCTGAGTGCTTAAAAGCAACAGTGTCAGTCTAGAGATTAAGGTGCAGCAGATCTAGGCCGTGCTTTCACAATTACTTGCTAAGCGTCAGAGAGCTGGCCAATAAACAAGGGTGACAAAAGAAACAGATGTGATCTTTAAAAAATTATGTGTGGCCTGGTGACAACTCTGAGTTTAGGCCCAGCCCTGGACGCAACCCCCAGCCCAAGGAGGAATTCCATCAACACCAGGGCCTGGCGCCTCACCTGCCTTACGTGTCCTGGCCTCAGTTTCCCCATGTGTCCTGCACAGGGAATGGAAGTTAAGAGAAGCATTGCATTTGTGCAAAGTGTTTGCAGATTCTGCCAGTTTTGAGGTTCGGTTCACTGTTTCATAACCAGCATTGACCTCCCAGGTTTAAGGGTCCTGAGGCCTGGCTTGGGGGAAGCATGGGCACAAAGGGGGTTTGGAGGAGACCCTTCTGCCCGAGCCCTCCCATCTGGCTTGCACCCAGCTCAGTGTCTCCTGTGGGAAAGGGGACAACACAGTACACAGATAAGTGGAAAACTTGGAGGGAAGCTGCAAATTCGGGGCAAATCTGGACATTTACCAGCTCCCAGGGGGCACGGTGGGGAGGGGAGTCCTGGGGGGCTTTATGTTCAAAGACACAAGGATAGGTGCACCCCTTAAAAATGTAGCCGACATCATGGAACTGTGCACGTGGAAACTCTGTGGGCACTGGTTGTTAGGGATATATATGTTCGCCTCAATCAAAAAATATATGGGACTTAAAGAATTTTTTAAAAAGGTACGTAGGACTTGAAAAGAGAGAAGTGCCCACCAAATAAACAAGGAGAAATGGGATAACAAAAAGCAGGGATTACAGAAAAGTAGCATAAAATTCCGGGAAGATGAAGCCAGAAGAATCTAAAAAAGCCACTCGTACGCCCCCGCCCCCCGCAACTGCCTAAAAGGCGGGATCGAACCGCAGAGCCCTAGCTCTTGAGCCCGACGCTGTCGCCGCTGAGCCACCTCGGCCGGCAGAGGGCCTCGCTCCCGCCGGCTCCGCCCCTCGCCGCGTCGTCGCGCCGCCAGGTGGAGCTCTCTTCCTAGGGCCGCGCCGGCCCTCCTCGAGCAGCGCTGTCTCTGTGGCGCAATCGGTTAGCGCGTTCGGCTGTTAACCGAAAGGTTGGTGGTTCGAGCCCACCCAGGGACGCGCCGGTTCCTTTTGTTTCCTGCACGTGCAAAGGAAGCGGGGCTGCGGAGGCTTTTGCCGCGTCGCATTGGCTCTGTCAGCGCCGAGAGCGGGGGGACGCACGGCGGAGGCGCACGGCCGCGGGCCGGCGGAACCTTCGGTCCAGGCTCCTGTTTCCGCGCGCTGCCGGGCCTCTTAGGTCGCCGCACGTGACCCGGAGCGCGGAGGAGGACGGACCTCAGAGGTTGTCTGAAGGCCGCGGGCAAGATGGCGGCGCCGTGGGGTGAGCGGGCTCCGGGGGCCGGGGGCCGGGGCTCGTCCACGGGGGCCGGGGCTCGT